CCCGCCCACGCGTCCCGCCCCGCCCTGCCCTGCCCCGCTCTCTCTCCCCCCGCCCCGCGCCTCGTGCCCCGCCCCACGCCTCCTATCAAGTCCCGCCTCGCTTCACGCCGCGCTCCCCGCCCTGCCCACGCGTCCCGCCCCGCCCGCGCGCCCCGCCCCGCCCACGCGTCCCGTCCCGCCCACGCGTTCCTTCCCGCCCTGCCCCGCTCTCGCCCCGCCCCCCGCGCCTCTTTCCCCCACCCCATAGCCGTCGCCCCGCCTAGCGGCCGTCGCCCCGCCCCGTTGCCGTCACGCCGCCCAGCGCCTCTTGCCCTGTTCACAGTCCCTCTCCCGGCTGGAAGCCCCTTCCGGCCGTACGTCCTTGGCGCCAGGTCGGCCCGGCGGAGGGGAGGCATGGGCAGAGGGTAGGCTGGAGGGAGGTTACCTTCCCTGTTTCACTCCCAGCCCCCCGACGCGAGAGGAAGCAGCGGTAAGGTCCGCGGGCGGCATGGCAGGAGCTCCAGATGAGCGCGGGCCGGGCCCCACGGCGAGGGAGCAGCTGCAGCAGCAACACGTCGGGTGCCGAGTCTTCCCCGAGCGGGCGGCTCAGGGGACGCCGCAGCAAGGGTTCCTCTCCAGTTTCTTCACCAGCAACCAAAAGTGTCAGCTTATGCTCCTGAAGACGCTGGAGACAAGTAGGAGCCGTGACCGGGAGGCGGGGCGTCTGGGGAGGTGGTGTCTGGGACCGGGTGGGCAGGGAGGGGCCTGGGCGCCCCTCGGCCAGGGGCTCTGAGTTCGGCCCCAGGGGTGGCGGGGGCTGAGTTCGGGCCCCTCGGCGCAGAGTCTAGGCAGATTGGGCACGTGAGGGTGGGAATGGGGGTCTGGGCCTCAGTTTCCCTAACAGAAGAGTTGCAGAGCGCCCTTTCAGCACTACACTTGTTTGTGGAATGAACGAGGAGTCGGGCTAGGAGTTTGCCCTTTCCTCTCACACTCATTGGTCTGACAGATCCTCTGATTTCTTAGGTAAATTATGCAGCAGTGTGGGGACTTCAGAGTGCAGGTGAAGCAGAGTTTTAGACAGCCACGTTCATTAAGGCATACTGACTGCCGGCAGTGCAAAAGCAACAGTTTTACAATTGTGGCCTTCTTGGAAAGAGTGCTTAACCTTCACACATGGATGGACTTCAGAGTGTAGAAACTCCTGACGTGGACTACAAAACCGTGTGTGTATGCTCCTGAATGCGTGGAGGAAGTGGCAAAGTGGAGGAAGAGCTGAGACAGGATGTGAGGAGGGTGAGGGGCTAAACTTGAGCCTCAGGAGGAATTAACCCACCTTATCCTCTCAAGAGGAGGGCTGCTGGGAGAACCTGTTGGTATTAAAGCATCAACCTGCAGCTTTAAAATCCTATCCCTGGGGCGGGTATGGTGGGAGAACCCAGGCCTCATGGGAGATCTTTGTTTTCTTTTTCTCAAAATCAAATCAGTTCTAAATACTGCAGGTCCTTTTTGAAGTACCAAACGACTGTGCTCCCTGAGGAAAAAAAAATTTGTTTTTAGAGTCGGGGAACTGTAGACTTTTGGAGCCACTTCAACTTTGTAAAACTTTGTTGCTTGAATAATAATGTACTTGATATGGTGCCTAACACCCGATATGCACTAAAAATACTTACTACTACTACCTGTTTTACTATTAACACTATCATTTAAGAGGGGGCAGACTAGTAAAGCAGTAACTATGCCTGGCTTTCTCATCCCGCACTGCCTTTTCCTCGTCTGTTGTTGCTTTTCAGCACTTTAAAAAAGCGAACAAACTTGATTTCTTTCTTTTCCTATTTTTTCCCTTGTGTCATTTAAGTTGCTGTGCATTTGTACTCTGAGACAAGACTTCTGTATGAAAGTTGGTACTAGAGACATTTGGGTTTGTCGTAGTTTGCTGTAATTGTCCCAGGCTCATAGACTCTTAGAAATGGAGGACCCTCGGGAGTTGTCCAGGCCTTTCCACCCCCACCACTGACCAGAGTGTTTGCACACCTCTGCTGGAACAGGTGTTCTGTTCTCTAAGGCTCTTTGGGGCTACCTGGCTGTTGTACCGACAGCTTTAATTGTTGGAAAAATCCTTTCTCACGCTGAGTTGAAATCTGCCCCATGTAACTTCTACCCTTTGGTCCTTGTTCTGTCCTCTGAAGAAATGCTGACTGACTCTGTTCCCCTATGGCGCCCTTTCAGATACTTAAAGCTACCATTCCTAGTTCTTCCTCTTTTCCAAATCCACAAATCCCTTTCTTGCTTCGAGTATAGTCCTGTGCTCTTCCAGTCACTTTCCCCCCGGGAAGAGCTGCAGTTGGCAGGTCCTGTTTAGAGTGTTGTACTGTACTCAGAATGGGACGCTGCATATGGACCAGGACAGACAACCTGGATTCTATGCTGCTGCTTATTTCTATGGCTGTGGTCCAGATTCCCTTAGTCTTTTGGTGTATACTTTAATACATTGTGTTTGATCATTTAACTGGAAGGTATATTTGATATTATCTAAGATGTTTGGTGGTACCCATCTTGGTATTTGTATTAGTGTCTCATTTCATTAAAGACTTGCTTTTATGTTAATTTAAGTTTGTCTTTTTACATTCATTTTTGTCAATTTTAAGATAGTATTCACTAAGATTTGTGAGATACATTTTGA